TAGTTTTTAATTCAATTTTGCATTTTTTTATACCCTTCTAACGAATGCCAGCCTGGTCATATTTTATTTGCTGCAGGCAAAAAGAACCCAATTTTTGTTGAAATAAGCAAGTTTTTTTAGACGCGCTGTGGTTCTTTTCAAAAAATAATTGAGTCACTATTATTATTACTGTTTTTTTTTTTTTTTTTTTTTTGCGTAACGGCTTGGCTTTTCGTTTTAGCTCTTCAGATCCTTTGCCGTGCACTACCATTGCAACAGAGCCTCATCCTCTCATGTCTTCTACTGTCGTAGATTCAGACTTGTTGTCGAATGACGACTTGAATAGGTCAATAAATCTTGTGCTTTTTCAGCTTGACGAAGAAATTGCCAGGTAAGAACCCGAGTTTTTGCTATTTATTTGTTCCTAAAATTAACTTTCAATTTTCTTTTTAAGGAGAACTTTACCGGGTTTTTTGCATTAAAAGCCTGGGAATTATCATAAGTAGGTTTAACATAACCTTTTTGTACCAAAATTTACTTTCACTTGTCAATACTCTATATAGAATTCTTTTTCCACTGCTTGTCATGCTGTCTTATTTTTTAGTTATAAGGATATCAGTCCTATTTTTCTTATTTTATTGGCAGTTTTCGTTTCTTCATTTCTAGCTTGAGGAACAGCAATAAACAATTCTTCCTTCTTATTTTAATCCTCTTTAGTCCCTAAATGTTCCCTCCTGTTCTTCTATATTTCCGTCGCTTTGTGACTTGTTAATATTAATAAAGTTTTTAAAACTTATTTCTGTGGAGGGATCTAGCATTATATCTATTATTTTAGCTATATTCTTTTATATAATTGTTCAGTTATTATTATTTTCAGGAATGATAAAGTTCAAGAGCAGAATTTCGCACTCCACTGCCGTGTTGAGGAAATGTCAAAAGTCAATGAAACCATGAAAGAAGAAATTAGAAGAATGAGCAGGGAAGTCGAAAGATTAAGAAATGAAAGTGCAGTTGAACGTGGGATTTTTATTCATAATGATAAGGTTTATCCTAATGAATGTTTCTACAAAAAAACCCTCTACTGCATTGTTAAAGTTTTTCACTTTTATACTTTTTCTGCATAAATTACTTTTGCAAACTGGGTTGACCTATTCGTTATTTGAACAGCGGAATTGAGTTGTATCATTTCTGCTATTTCTCACTGTGAACTTCAAAATATATCTTACAAATAATGCTGCTTCTTTGCAGAAAAAGCAGCATACAGCAGAAGCGCAGCAGGAAGTAATTCTGGCATTGTGGAATGCGTTCAGTATAATAAAGCGTCAGGTAATTTACTCTTTTTTTGAAAAGGAGGGTTGGGCTAGTGTCAAAAATGTTGTATATAAGTATTTAGAGTGAGATCAGCAAGGGGTCTAATTAATTCTATGATTGTAGTCCGTCGTAGTCAGGTACCTATTCTAAGGCTTATAATTTTCTGAAGTTGGTTAAGAAGATTTATTGGTTCTTTAACGTTTCGGAAAGACCGGTCTGTGCTTATTGGTGTATTTTTAGACATCAGAACTCATTATTTTTTTATTTCTTAGGTGCAAGAGCTGCGAATGGAAACTGAAAGTGATCTTGATCGACAAAAGAACGAATTGGTAAAATGCGCAAACAATATGGAAGTTGGGCTAAGAGAAGCGTCACTTCAGGTAATTTTCTAAACGAAATTTTTAGGGTTTTCAACTTGAATTTCTTACATTACTCTTATTTCAGTGGCATTCAGATAATAATTCCAAGAGAGAAGACAATACATTAGAAGATTTCTTTAAGGAGTATGAGAAGCTAACAACTCGGTACTTACAGGTAAAATTCTCAATTTTTTTCAAAGGAGTGTATTTTATTTTTGTAGAGGGTTTTATTTCTTGTTATTTGACAGAACCGGCTGCTACACTATACCTTCTTGTTCCGATAAGGTGTCTGGTTTCATAGTTGCTGAAGCTTTTATTGTCATCCTCTATTTTGTTCCTTAAGTTCCGCCTTATGTTCTGTACATTAGGTTGTGGAACAGCACAACGAAAAGAGTCGAATGATAAATGAATTAGAAGCATCGGTAAAAAAAATAAAAGAAGACCGGGAAACCGCGCATGAATCGCTTAAAAAAATATTACTTATGCCAGAGCTAGCAGAAGTCCGCAGTCGTAAATCCCGTTCTTTAAGTCCAAGTAAAAAGTTTCTTATTATTTTTTTTAGTTTCTTGCTTCTTAATACATAAATTTTTATTTTTTAAGCAGGACATCTGACTTTTGATGCTATTCACATCGTGAGGACGGCTCTAAGGGACCAAGAAGACGAGATTCGACAACTGAAGCGGGTTCATGATGAGCAGAAGTTGTTTGCAGCTGATTTACAAGAACAGTTAGCAAGATCAGATGCAGTAAAGAAGGTCAAGGAAAAGGAAGCAATGGACATAGAGAGCCAGCTAGAAACTCTGTTAGTTTCAAAGTGTAAAAACTTTTAACGGGGTTCTTCTTTGACTGGTCGATTAATATTATGAGAGCACTTTTTTTGGAGGTCATTTTTTTATATTAAGACTTCTATCAGGGTCTTACTGTTCGCTTTGCTGTGATAGTTGAAGACCCGTAATCTGTAGAACTCTTAGTGGTTCTTGGTTAATGAAATGCATTGCTCAGGGACTTTCCGTACTTTTGCTGGAAGTTTTATATGCTTTAGAACCATATAGATACACCTAAGTATTAAGGAAATACGAGAAGGCAGACATTGAGAGGGATTTTAATCGGGCCGTGGAAAAGATCAACCAGCTTGAGGTGGAGAAGATGCAGTCTTTGTTAAGTTGTGAACGGCTTCAGAAACAAGTTGTTGCTCTTACTGAGTTGGTTTTTATTTACTTCCCTGGCTTATAATCAAATAATTTTTGGCTTATTTTAACTTTTGCCTAAGAAATTTTCATTATAGCATAAGCTCAGGTCAATAGATGCTTATTCCACTTGGTTACTCATTTTTTAAGGTCTCATCAAAATACTGTAGAAGAGATTCTACAGAAACAAAGTGAAGAATGTGCAAGGTTGCGAAAACGGTTAGAGGAGGAGAATGAAGAAGCCGAAAGAGATTATAAATTTGGACTAGATCGAGCACGAGTAGAGTTGGAACAGGTTAAGGAAGAGAAGGAAACTTTGGACGATCTGCTGCAATCATCTCAGTCTGATTGTAATACACTTCGTAATCGCATGAAGGAAAAGGGTGAGTGAATGCTTCAGATAATGTCGTAAATTTCTGGAATTTATGAGTTTTACAGGAATCCCTCATGCATAAGTAAACATTTTTTGAATATTTTTATTGCATAAATTTTTTAAAAGTATTTTGAAGAAAGTATTACTGTTTCGTTTTTTTTTGGTTAAGGCTAAAATGATTCTCCTCTGCTGAATGAACTTGAATGTTCTAAAGTCACTAATTGAGTTATAGAAGACGAGTTAGTAAACAAAAATGCACATATTGTTGAGTTGAAAGATGAAGTAGAAGAACTGCAACACACACTAGCGGAAGCAAAAGACACTAATTTGGAATTAGAGCAACGAGTGAACGACTTGCAGGATGAAGTTGCAAAAAGCAATCAGAGTCTAACACAGGTTCTTTTATAATGAAGATCACTTTGAAATTTTTGAGCCAACTTCCAGTCTTTCGTATTACGTTGTAAGAATTCATTTGAACTGTTTATCTATCGTAGTTTTCAGTTGGAACTAGACAGAAAATTACTGAAGGATGAAGCTGTAGAATTGCGTAATGAAATGGATCTTTTGAAGGCTGAACTTTCAGATAAAATATCTGTCATGCAAAAGCTTCAAGAATCTCATCACGGTAGGTTTTCCTTCAAACACATGTTTCAAGGGAAGAAATCATTTTTTTTTCTAGCTAATAGTTAGTTAGACTGAAATTCTACTCTGTTGCTGATCACAGTTTTTAGAAGTCATGGATAATGCGGCCCAATTGCGGAAAGAGTTATCTTTATTTAAAGACAAAGCTGCGGACTTGGAAAGTGAACGCAATCTTTTAGAGGCAGAAGTGAAGGCTCATAGAGAGGACGTTCGTAATTATTAATTGATACTGCATTTGTAATATTGGTAGAGAGGCTAATAGAATGTGTTTTTGTGCGAACCTTTTGAACAAGCACTTTTATACATATACAACTGCCTGATCTTCAATACATTTATAAAATTTTGACTTTGAGTATACGTCGTGCACAACCGTTTATTGAGCACCAAACGTCTTGTTGAAGCATGGAATGGTGTTTTGTTTAATTTGCAAGTCGAAATTTTTGAATTTCATTTTTTTATTTACCACTTATTTCATATGTTGAATTTTCCATTTCTCTCTCCTATGGTGTTGCAGTAAAGTCGACTACAAGCATGAAATGTTACTTCTTTTCTACCATACTTGAATGTAGGAGAGGCTTTCGTAGCTTCCTGTTGTTGCACATAAGTTGTTCACAGAAACTGGCTGTCAAGGTGGGGAGAAATGGAAATAATTCGAGGACGTACTTATCACTTGCTAGCAACTTTATTTCATAGCTTAGTATTTGCACCGTTGTAGTGAATTTACAAACACTAGTTCCTCTGCATAGAGTGATAACTATATCTGAACAATTTGCTGAATTTGAGGCATCTTGCAGCATATGATTTTTAGAAGTCCAGTTTGGAACGTGGACTGGCGGAGCGAAATAGTGAAATTGCTTCGTTATCGAGTCATTTTCAAAAGTTGGAGGATGAACATTCGGCAAATCTTAGGGATTTAGAGGATGAACGCGACAAGGTCTGTTGGCTTAGAGAAAGGCATTTTGTTTTTCCGGCGGGTGGTTTTGCTGTTTTCGTTGCATATGGGGTCTTAGTGACGCCACTGGTTCAAATCACGATAGTGTTAGAACTCAATGCTGAGATTTGTTTAAGTCGTTTTTTACTGAATTTTCTGGTTTTTATTGTGACAAGTGGTTGTGAAATTTTCGTTTCAAGTTTATGTAATGTGCTTCCGTCTTTTCAGGTTGCGAATTTCGAGGCTCAGGTGATACGTTTGAGTGCTGATAACGAGCGACTGTCTCACGAGTTGTCTTTAGCTAATGAGAATCTTGAGAGGAAGGCCGAGTCTTGTCAACGTGCAATGAATGAGTTGTTAGAAAACTATCGCTGTGCTGAAAAGGCTCGTTCTGAGCTTTTAAACGAAAAGGATACTGCTTTAGAGGAAGTTTCTCTATTGAAGTAAGCAACTTGTTTAATAAGAGTGAGGCCTGAGCAGAGGAAATGAAAAACTTCAACAAAATGTTTTTTGTTTTTGAACATTGGATTTTCTCATAAACTTTCTCATGAAATGTTTTTAGGGGCAAAATGAACAGACAGGAAGAAAAGAGAATTGAACTACAAAAGCGCCTGGATGAGGTAGAAGCTATGAAATCCGATTTGCAGATGAAACTTTGTCACTTTGAAAACTGTGCGAAAAGAGCGTTGAAGGCGACGAGTAAGAAATTCGGAAAAATAATTCATTTTTACTTTATATACACTTCAGGACCGACGATTTTTAGGGGTGCAGCCGCCATTGCATGATCTGGAAGCGAGCAGCAAAGAAGGGCCGTCAGTGTTATCTTTAACTGCTGCCTCTCCAGGTTTGTATTGTTTTCGTTAGGACCGCAACATTATTGCTTGAATTAATCTGACTTTTCAGTGATACAGGTTTCTTCTTCGCAATTTAAGAACAAGCTTCAACTAGCTTTGTAAAATTACTTCATAGTTCAAATTAGGTAACTTGCAACATTTTCGAGAAAGCCCGTCATCACATGATCTGATCGCTTCAAATGTCGGGTTGGATTCAAGCACTGAGGGCATCGCAACCGAACACCTGGATATTAGCTCTTCAGTTGAAATAACATTCAGTGCTCTTCGTAACAGAATAGAAGATTTGGAAAATAATAAGGTAAGGGACGAGATATTTCATCTTTCAAGGTTTCGGTTATGCTTTGAAGCGTTCGAAGTGAAAATTGAGTCGCTTTTTATAGTTTTCTTTCGTTATTCACCAACTCACCAACTCCAGTGCCAGTTTTCTTACGTGGCGACCTTATAAGAACGAAAAGTTTAGCAAGCTGATTTCTAATGCTGTTTCTTTCAATGTTCTTTTTTTTTGCTTATTAGCAGCTTAAGCGAAAACCATGTTTCAAAATGGGGTTTGTCAGTGAAGACACAACAAAAAGGTTTTAATAGGGTTGGGAAGCTGTTTCATGGTTATTGTTTATTGGAAAAACCCAATATCACTCGTAGGATTCGGTCATAGGCTAATGGCAAAGGTCTGTATTGCAGGTTGAAAAGTGTGGCGCGACTATAGGTATGAGTGCAGCGAAGTTTACTTGGAGGGTAAAAGCTCATGAAATTAGCTAGTCAAAAACGGAACAGAGATTGTTTTTACTGAAGAGAGCTGAACATGTGTAATTGTATAACTGACTGGGGTTAGAGGAATCATATTTAAAGGTCTCTCTTGAGCAACCATCCTTTGTTTGTACAGTTACTGTATAATTTAGAAGGTTCTGGTTGAAACCGTGTCACGCTTGAAAATAGAATGTTCTGATGCCGACTCTGCGAAAAAGGAACTCAATCGGAAAGTTGGTGATCTACAAATGAAACTTCAGGAGTTAGAGGAGGGTATGTTATTTCTGTTATATTTTAGAGTTGCTTTCCTCTTCTCTTATTTAAAATTGCTGGCAAAAAAACTTGCTCATTTATGGTATGTTTGCAAGCTCTATTATTGGGAAATATCATATAATCATCATTATTTTGCATGAGTCTTCAATTGGTTTTTCATTGCTCCTTTAAATTTCTAGTATCTTCAAATACAACAATGTTCTTATGTCTTGGAGTTGTTCCACATCGTAGAAGATTTGTTATTATAGAACTCTGCGTAATTTTTTTCTAGAACAGAAAGTTTTGGAGACTCGTTTGTCCAGTTCTCGTCAGTTGCTTATTTCACAGGAGGAAAATTTAAGGTCAAAGGATCAGCAACAAAAGTCACTGAAGGGGCGGCTTCTAAGTGCAGACTTACACGTTAGGGATAAGGAAGCCAAAATTGCATCATTAAACGTCAGTTTTCAATTGTTTTAACAGAATAAGTGGAAAGAATTTGAATGGATTGTTAGAAGAAAAAATGGAGCAAACAGATTTTTCAACTACAGATGCATTTCAACTGATAAACCTACCTAGTTTGTTCTGCTTTAAGGACTTAATAGCATCTTTGAAATATGAAATTTCGAAGTTGGAGGAAGACAAGAAGTCTCTGAAAGAAACCGTTTCTTTGTTTGAATTGGAAAGAGTGAAGACAGATTCGCTTCAACGTCAAACTGACGACGAGTTGCTGAAGTATCGCTCAGAAATTACTGCCCTTCATAATAAAAAAGAGGTATTTTTTGAACTTTGTTCATTCAGACTATTTGTGGTCATATATTTTTAGATTGTTTTTCTAGCATGAGTTAGAAAGATTATAAGTTTTGGCTTTTAGGAGCTATCTTCTCGTTTGAAAGAAACTGAGGAACAGTTGGCGGCGTCTCAAAAATGTTGTTCAGAGCTTGAAAAGAGTATAAGGGAATATCGCAATACTTTACAAAAAATGAAGGTTTATTCTTAACTGGTTTATTCTTAACTGCTAATCATTAGTATTCCACATATTTAGTCGGTATGTGAACGTTAGCTTGTTACTGTTGCTTAGCAGTAAGAATAATTTGAAACAAGACGGTTTTGGAAAGTTTTTGCACCTTGCAACTTTTTAGAAAGACGCAGGAGCCTGGAAGAAACAGACTTCGTCTGGAAACAGAGAAGAAGATGAGATGGAAAAACAGCATTTGATTGATCGTCTTCAACTTGACCTTGAAGAAGCTTTGCTAAAACAGAAAGCGCTCGTTAAGGAAAAAGAATCTCTTAAGTGTGCTTTTTTTAAAATTTGAATGTGAAAAGAAAAAATTTGAGGAAAAAACTGTAAAGTTTTGACATTTTTTTACATGACAAGTCTGTGGATATTCATCAATGATTTCTCGCGTTTTGGTTCTAAAGAAATAATTTCGGGTTGTAGATTTTATAATGATATTATAATTGCACACCTTTTCAGAAAAGAACTGAATACAGCAAAAGCACATCAAAACCGAAGTGCCCAGAAAATTACCGAGCTGCAGCAAACAATTTGCACCCTTTCTTTTGAAAACAGCCAAACCAAACAACGTTTAGCGGTACTAGAAAAGGTCAGTCTTGAAAATTTTCGAGCTCTCTTTGTCGGTAATCGCGTTGTATGCAAAATTTTGCAATTGCTGCTTTAGACCCAGAAAGACGGTAACGTTCTTGGGAATGTTTTGCATGAAGAGCTAGAACAGTTACGAGCAGATAAAATATCATATACATCGGAGAGACATAATCTTCGGAAACGGATTGAAAGGGCTGAGAGTGAGCGGCGAGAATTGGAAGCGCAAAGAGTTCGCTTAGAACGAGAGAGGGCTGCTCTTAAGCAGCACATAGAAGCAGTTTAGTTTCTAAAAGGCTTATTTTGGTCATCATTGGTTATATACTACAGGAAAAATCTTTATTCTTTATGTTACGACCACAGCTCTCAGAGTAAAACAAAATAGATTAGGTTATAATGGCGTTTAATGGTAAAACATAGAATTTGTTGTATGATTGATTCTCAGCTATCTATTTTGATTATTTTAGCGCTTATCCTATAAGTTACTTCGAGCACTAACATCTGTTTTCAACAAATTTCCTTTCTAACCTGATAATGCTTTTCTCTTTTGGCCCAATCCCGAGCCTTGCTAAATGTGAGATCAGAAGTTTTATCCAAATTATTGAATTGTTAATTGTGCTTTACTCAGCGTCGCGTTCCACTATGGGTCGCTTATCTCACTAGTTTAATGGAATCAAGAAATTCTCAGTCATAACTAGTAAATCTTGGAGTCAAGTTTCATGTAATTACTTTAAGTGAACTATATTAATGTGACACTTTACCCGAGGGATAATGCATAAAAAATGTGCCTTGCTTTGATTTTTCACCATATTCAACTTTTTGAGTGTTACCTTAAACGGTTTAGTTTACTTGTTATTATTTTTTCTAGTTGGAAATTGAAAAACAAAAAAGCGATACTGTAACGAAACAAACAAATATAGAGAGGTTGGCACTGGACAAATCTTTATCTGCTATGGAGAAAGAGAATAGGGAACTTTACAAGAATTGCTCACAGTTGCAGAAGCAGGTGGGTGCTACGCATTGTAAAATTTTTATTCGTACTAATCGTTTAATCAAGCGGTTTTAAAACTTGCTATCTCTTCTTTATTTATCTTGGCTGCTATGGACTACAAAGGATTTCTTAAGTTAATACAGTCTAATACAGTCGAGTGCTTCAACTTTTTTACTCTAAACGTTTATCAGCAATTAGCTGGAGATGTAGGGATTATAACCATTTAATTGTTTGGGCTGCTGTAGTTGTACTTTACTCGTTACATAGCGTAAGCTTTGAAATTTATAGATAGCGCAACTTGAAAAGGAAAATGGTAGTTATCTTTTAAATGATAGTGCAAATCAGCGACGACATGTAGAATCGCAGTTGCAGAGAGTAACTGCGGAAAAGCAGGAGGTAAGTGATGAGTACAATGAATATAATCTGTTTTAAATGAAAACGGGTTTGTGTTTTTTTATTGTTGTTTCAAATTTTTCTGAAGTTTAAAATTCATTTTGAGTAGGTTTTGGAGGTGATTTATAATTTTTATTCTGAATTGTGAGAAACTGCTTTCATTTTCTCAAAACTTGTGGGTTTCATTTTGTAAAGCTTTATCCTGTTTTAGCTGGAACGTAAGTTAAAGCAATGTGAACAGTTACACACACAATCTGTCAAGCTTCTTGAGTCTAAACTAAACAGTTTAAAAAAGCAGCTAGATGTAGAGAGGAAGCGTCGGGGCATTTCTGAAAATCATCCTGTAAGTGATACACAAATACAGGGTGAACTTGAAGCGAGGAGTAGCGACGTTGTGGAGCGGCAAGATTCTAAGGTTTTGGATGAATCTGATGAAAACGATCCTCCTGTACCAAAAAGCTATTTCAAAAAGTAGTTCCCGAAGATTTGATTTTTTGATCGCTCATTCATATGTTTCTTAACTTGTCAAGTTTTTGATCACTGCTTAAGATCTCTGTGTTTTCGCTTCTGAATTTGTTCACTTGATATTGATTCTCCTGTTTACTTTTCGATTCGGCCTATTCGTTGAGGTAGGGATTTGCATAAAATTGTCCAGCTCTGGTTGACTGATCTCATGTTTATGGCTTCTTGAAGTTAAGTGACGTATATTCTCGAATGAGGGTCAAGAGCGAATTTTTTTGCCGAGTTCGTTACCTACAAGCAAAATTGAGTCTCGCTTTTCTTCAAGAAGGTTTTTGTACATGCTGGCAAGACTGTCAAAAATTAATTTTTTTTTTGCTAGATGAAGGTTCTGGTGAAGATGTTTTTAGTGTCCTTTCTTTTTTCTCTATCCAAATATTGGGCAGTGCTATAAATTATCATTTATTTTTTTTACTTCCGTCGTTTGAAATGTGTTAGGCGCATGTATAGATTTTTTCTTGGTTTCATATCGTGAACCTTGTTTGGTTTAAGATTTAGTAATGTAGGTTTGATTGTATTTATTGTTGCTAAAGTCGTAGTTTCCTAAGTTTTTAGTGCCTATTTCGTCTTGGTTCTATCGGTAAGTCACTGCGTTTTATTAAATCCCAATAAGGTGTTTCCTAAATCTCACAGCATTAGGAAGGAGATGGTTTGGAAGTATTTCTTGTTGTTCTGTTGTCAAAACTTCTTGCTATGTATGTTTCCTGAAAACTTTGGGAAGTATTTGAGTTGGGAGAAGCTAATGAATTCTCCAAATTGTCGTTTCGTTTCTCTCAATAAACTGTAAGTTATTGGTCTACTGGAACAAATTATCTGCAAGCAGAACTGCTCTGAAAGGTTTAACAGAATAGAAGGAAATTACCTTCTGATTAGTGTAACGTGTTTTCCGATTTGACGTTGGCCATAAAGCCATTTATGTGGATGAATGTCACAGTTAAGGAGGCGGGAAAGTACCTATAAATTTTTGAAAGAGTTGGTGTTGTCTGCGTTGTACTGTGCAGGCTAACTGTTCAGAACATTCGAAATGTGCTGTCATCAGTGATCCATATCAATTCAGGGAGTGGGGAGCAAACAGCAAAGCAGAGACTAGCTTTTATAGACGGGTCAGTATTTTTTGAGATGGATTGTTGATATACATTGGTCTGCTAACACAGATGCAATTCGAGCACTGTTGGATCAGCACGCGAAGTGAGTATCGAAGAAGACGTTTGATGTTGCCAACCAATCAACAGTTCCGCAAGTATGATGGTTTATTATCAAGGTTTAATCAGTCCCTTCATAAAACGGTATATCTTCCTCGAGTTTTATTTGTCCCAGTCGCAGTAAGAAGCTGTAAACGTCTCATTATAATATTGAATATTTGGGCTAAGGTGTTTCGTATTAATCTGTTTTCAGTTCTGGCGGGAATTTATGAGCCCTGCGTATATCGTTCTAATCAGGAGACTTGTATCCACTTATCTGTCATCCTTCTTGATCGTGCCTCAACAATAGGTAGTGGCTTCAATTGTAATTTTTTCTTTATTTCTTTAAATCATTTTTTTCTTTAAAAGAGTTTTAAAAATGTTCTTTCTTTCGTTGTCTTCAGTTTTTTTTGTTCCTGAACTGTATTTTAAAGAACCATGTCAATTGTTTTATGGGTCATATAAAAGAGGATCAGATAGCTTGCGGCATGGAGAGCCTGAAGAAGTAAGTCTAGACTTACAATAAATGTGATGAGGACGAAAAAGAAAAGACTTTTATTATTTTGTGAATCTTTAAAAATCGTAATAGCAAATTAGAGTTCAGAATGCAGTTACATTGCTAAAAAAATGTAAAACGTGCATTTAAAATTTTAGATTTGGAAAAGATACTATTAAAGTTGAAAAGCTGGAAGTTGATTGCATGAATGACGGCAGTCATTGTCAGGTTGCTAGTGCTGTTTTCTTCAGTAACTGTTTCTTGCAAAACGGAAATAGTGTTTTCAGAAAGCACGGAACAAGACTCATGAGAATCAAAAAAAATATGATTCGAAGGCAGTAACATCTATTTTAGTTAGATCTTATGGCTTTGATTGATCACTTTGATTCAGTTTCTACTAGTTGCTAACTTTCCCTTCGTACACTATTTTTGCCAGCACCAACACCAGAACAAGTCTGGCTTGTATTTTAAGAGTTTAAGTATGTCCATAATTCATTCTGTGTTCTAATTTTCTGCAGCCTTTGAAGTAAACGAGGTAAATTTCTGTCTTTTGCACTTCTGATTGCTACGAATTTGGTGCACAACTCCTCGACATTTTAATCTACTGTATTACTTTTGAAACGGGTTGATTTACTTGATAAAAATTGCTTCGGATTCAGACGTTATAGGCTAAAGAATTCAGGAATTAAAGGACGTTTAATTTTCGCATTATTATTTTTTTCTTATGTAGGTTGGATAAATTAGTTGGTTGTTTACAAAATGCGTTGTCTCTACTTTAAAATCAATTTTCAACTTCTCATATTTTGAAAACAGCAGGGATTTGGAAATAACCTAGGCAAGTGGCTAACCGCTAGCTAACTCTTTATCTATTTGTATTTTATCTGGACTCTGAAGAGGAATGATAGACAATGATTTTATTAGCAAGTTCAAAGAAAAAAGGGTAAGATGCGGGTTTAACTGATTTCAGTTATTTTGACCCAGACAGGTGTTTGCTGATCCTGCAGTCTTTTCGCAGATGTTTTTTTCAATTTTTTTTGTTTTTATAAGGGAAAAATTTTTTTGTTGAGCAATGTGAAAAATTATTCTTTAAGTGACTATTGAAACTACTACTTAGATGCTAGTGAAAAATTAAGCATTTTTCAGCGTGGGATTTCTGGTTCAGTGGTGTCAAAAACTATCATTTGTTGGGCTTACTTATTGTTTTGATAACCTGGAACTTCCGTTAAAATTTTTAAACTCTAATTTGAAAATAAATTTAGTAAAAAAACTGATTTTACTGATAAACAAAAATTATCGAAATTTTTAGGTGCCAGCAGAAGCTTAGGGAGTTCTTTCTTGATTTTAAAAATTTTCGCTGATATCTAATCATTATTTAGTTTCTCCAAAAGGTTTTCCACGTAAATTTGCAACATCACTGTCGGTTCTGGAAGATCTGGTCGAGTTCTGCTATTTGGTAGGATTAAACGAGGACAGGTGGACATGGGGAAATTGGAAAACTAATTTTTTTATTATTATAGTTTTTATCAGTTCTGTACAGCTAAGCTCGAAATAATCTGTATGTTCAGTCTGTTTATCAATTAATTGCAGCCAATGGTGCTTCTTGCTATCAATCATTGTAAGACGGAAGAGAGAACAGAAAAATCACTACTTTTTTCCGTCTTAGAAAAGTTTAGTCGGATGTACAGACGAATTTTAAAGATTTTGCTTTCTTTCATCATCACTCAATGTTGCATTTGTAACATGTTAAATACATTTGCCACATCACATGACAAAATTGTTGCTAAAGAAATTTTGTACCTCCGATTGTGGTCAGATGACATGTTTGGTTATCTACGGTTAAAAGTATCCTTCAGTGCGTAATGTCAGTGGCCGATGCCGGATTT